AAAGGACTTATTCTGGTGTGTCCACATCTCATCCTTCGACGTAACGTGCTGATGAGTCATTTATGTCCTCTGCATAACGTAAGTAGTCTTTGAACTCGAACACTTCCTGTAAAGTGAACCAGAGCAGGAAAGTGGAGAAGATGAAGATTCATGAACATGAATTATTTCTTTTTGTAAGGTATCTGTACTGAAACTGTAAAGGATTCTCGGTGTCGGTATAATGAGGGCGTTAAAAGTAAGAATAAGAAAATTGGGAATTTAAGAGTGATTAATGTAATCACTTCGGTTTTCGAAAGGAGTGTGAGGTAGCAAATTCTTTTTATTTTGTTATGGTTTTGTTTAGTTAATTTATTCTTTCTATCGATTAGTTAATCTGTCAATTTTCAGTTTACACTTAAACGCTAACTCACTTCCTAGCTAATCGCATTAACTTTTAGATTCTAAGAATTATCAGATTAACACCAGTTTCCCATATCGGTGACGTACAGATATTTAACATTGGTAAATAGTATGTAAATAATGATTACATGAATTAATCTGTTGTTCTAACTAGTTACTTAATTATTGCAGCTTAGCTTGTCTTTGTACTCGAGTACGTCACGTAACCTGAGCCGGAAGGTAGACAATGTGAAGATAGAAGAACATGAACGAATTTTATTTGTAAGGTATATATACTTAAACTGGGCAGGATTCATGATGTCAGTATAAGGAGGTCCTTAAAAGTAAGGATAGGAAAATTGGGAATTTATAAACGGTGATTAATATAATCACTTTCTTTTTTCGAAAGGTGGGAGGAATGTGAGGTAGCAAATTCTATTTTTATTTCGTTATGGTTTTGTTTTCAATTCATTTATTATTCTTTCTATTGTTTAGTTAATCTATAAAATTTTAGTTTTACATTTAAACGCTACCTCGCATTCTACTTAACTACGTCATTTAAAGCTTCTAAAAGTTATGAGACTGAGACCAAGTTTCCTGTATCGATAACTTGCAGATATTAATGCTGCAAAAGAGTATGTAAGTAATGTTAATATCAATTTTTAATATTTACAATCAATTGTGTGACGAGAGATAGTAAGTGTTATTGTTTATTATTGACAACTTTATAAACTGTAGTTTTGTACATTGTATTTTCTAATTCCTTTTATTTATAGAAACATTAATCCTGATGTTTATGGTATATTGTTCTTTGTTAGTAGAAAGTTCTGGCAATGGGAATATCCATAAACTACATCTAAACTATACAATTAATTTTATAAGGAGTCAAAAAAGGACTTTTTGGAAACAACTAAAAATACCCAATATCACCTGCAACCGTAGAAGAACGAACAGAAGTACTTGAATATTAAACAGACAATATCCAAAGTTGAAATGCATCGGAAGCTACAGCGAGAGGCTTACAACCGTTAGTATCTTTCGGACAAAATTAAAAGTAGTTAATTTACTACTGCTATTATTAAAAATATATTGATTATCTTCTGTATTAAATTGTTTTATTTATAAACTTATTCTAAGATGTAATGGACTGTCTAAACTTACTGTTTGTTACTCCGTTTTAGAGAAGTAAACTTCTTCTACCATTAAATTGATTTTAATATAAAGAAAAATGAAGAAAATATTTTGTCGAGAGAATTATTCCTATTCCAGAAAATGCTCATTGTTCTATGTCGTTGCAGAAAATGAAGTGGCGACAGAAGGCTTGGAGAGTACCTCCCCTCTCTAATAAGAGAATTTGTTTCGACATGTCCATCTTATCCTTCGACTTAACGAATCATCTGCTCAACCTAGATGGTCTTCGAAGTCAAGCACTCCCTGTAAGGGAAACTACAGCAGGAAACTAGAAGATCAATCTGAAGAGTTAAGAACATAAACAACTTGTCCTAGTATCTGTACTTAACTGTGGGGGTTTCATAATGTCAGTATAACGATGGCCTTAAAATTAAGAATACTAAAATTGGGAATTTATAAGGAATGATTTAATATTATTACATTTTTTGTCTAAAGCGGAAGGAGTGTGAGATAGCGTATTCTTTTGTTATTTTGTTATGGATTTCTTTACCGTTCATTTATTATTCATTCTATCATTTAGTTAAGCTCTGAATTTTTATTTACTCTTAAACGCTAACTCACCTTCTAACTAATCTCATAAATTTTGAATTATGAGACTGACATCAGTTTCCCATATCAGTGACGTACAGATATTAATATTGGTAAAGAGTATGTATATCATTTGTTATTTAATTATTGCAGATTAACCGGACTTAGAACTCGAACTTCGTTAAGCTGAACTAGAACCGAAAGATAAAATCGAATATACAAGAAAATGGTTTCATCCTTGTACTGTAACTGTATTTAAACTGAAGAATATCAGTATAACGTTACAAGTAAGCATTTAATTTTAAACTAATTAATGTAATCACTTCTTCTAAAGGGGAAAGATTGTGAAGTAGAAAGTTTCATTTTATTTCGTTTTGGATTTGTTTGTTTATTATTCATTCTATCATCATTTAGTTAATGTGTGAATTTTTAGTTTACATTTTAGTTATTGACATCAATTTTAAATATGAATTATGAGACCGACACCAGTTTCTTATAGCGGTGACTTACAGATGTTAATGTTGATAATGAATACATAAATAATGATTACAATATTTCAAATCTCTTGATCTAATTATAGCAACTTAGCTGGTCTTTGAACTTCCCTTAACCTAAATCGCAGCAGAAGGTACAGAAGCTGAAGATCTGAGAACACTACGCCTTTTCTTTGTAAGGTATATGTACTTAAACTGGGCAGGATTCATGGTGTCAGTATAATGAGGTAATTAATAGTAAGGATACTAAAACTGGTAATTTATAAGCAGTGATTAATGTGATCACTTCGGTTTTCGAACGGGGAAGGAATACGAGGTAGCAAAATTTACTTTTATTTCGTTATGGTTTTGTTTTCTCTTCATTTTTTATTCTTTCTATTGTTTAGTTAACCTGTAACATTTGTTTTAACTTTAAACGCTACTTCGCATTCTAATCAATTACGTCATTTTAAAGTTTCTAAAAGTTATGAGACTGACACCAGTTTCCATTACCGGTGACTTGCAGATATTAAAGTTGTAAAATTTTTAATTTAGTGTTCTGAATAAAGACTTTGTCATGAGTTTCAATGACTTTAATCACGTGAGATAGCGCTGAAGTGTTTTTGTTGTTATTCAATGTTTTATACACGTTTCTTCCGTTTTTTTATCTATTTATTTATACAAATATTAAACTATTATTGATGGTATGTTTTTCTTTCGTGTTAGTGGAAAGTTCTGGCCATTGGCTCATTCATACATTGTATGCAGCCTATTTGATAGTTTATAAGGGGTCAAAAAAGGACTTTTTGTAAACAAAATATCCAACATTTCCTGGAACCGTAGATGAACGAACAGAAATATCAAGAAATGTTATACAGAAGGCAACATCCAACGCTTAAAAACATCGGAAGCTACAGCGAGAAGCTTGTACCCGTTAGTATCTTTCGGACAAAATTAAAAGTAGGTACCTCGCTACTATCGTTAAGAATACATCAAATATATTCTGGAGTGACTCTTACTGAACTTTATTCTAAGACTGAATGAATAGTTGCAAGTTACGATTTGTTTCTCCATTTTTATATAAATTAGGTTATATCGTGTTAATAGGACAATTTTACGTTTCTAAAATTAATTTTTCCAGTATTTTTTTTTTAGACACCAGAGGAAATGGTCATCGTCCTATGCCTTTGCAGAAAATTTAAATCGCACAAGAAGGCTTTAAGATTGCTGCTTCCCTTCCATCAAAATAAAGGACTTATTCTGGTGTGTCCACATCTCATCCTTCGACGTAACGTGCTGATGAGTCATTTATGTCCTCTGCCTAACGTAAGTGGTCTTTGAACTCGAACACTTCCTGCAAAGTGAACCAGAGCAGGAAAGTAGAGAAGATGAAGATTCATCAACATCAATTATTTCTTTTTGTAAGGTATCTGTACTGAAACTGTAAAGGATTCTTGGTGTTGGTATAATGAGGCCGTTAAAAGTAAGGATACGAAAATTGGGAATTTAGGAGTGATTAATGTAATCACTTCGGTTTTCGAAAGGAGTGTGAGGTAGCAAGCTATTTTCTTTTGTTATGGTTTTGTTTACAGTTAACTTGTTCTTTCTATCATTTAGTTTATCTGTCAATTTTCAGTTTACACTTAAACGCTAACTCACTTCCTAGCTAATCGCATTAACTTTTAGATTCTAAGAGTTATCAGACTGACACCAGTTTCCCCATATCGGTCACGTACAGATATTTAACATTGGTAAATAGTATGTAAATAATGATAACGGGAATAAATCTGTTCTAACTAATTACTTAATTATTGCAGCTTTAGCTTGTCTTTGAACTCGAGGACGTCACGTAACCTGAGCAGGAAGGTGAAGATAGAAGAACATGAACGAATTTTGTTTGTAAGGTATATGTACTTAAACTGGGCAGAATTCATGATGTCAGTATAACGAGGTCGTTAAAAGTAAGGGATTGGGAATTTATAAACGGTGATTAATGTAATCCCTTTTTTTTCGAAAGGGGAGGAATGTGAGGTAGCAAATTCTATTTTTATTTCGTAATGGTTTTGTTTTCAGTTAACTAAACAATAGAAATTATAAATTAACGAATAGAAATGTTTAGTTTTACGTTTAAACGCTACCTCGCATTCTACTTAACTACGTCATTTAAAGCTTCTAAAAGTTATGAGACTGACACCAGTTTCCTGTATCGATAACTTGCAGATATTGATGTTGCAAAAGAGTATGTAAGTAATGTTAATATCAATTTTTAATATTTACAATAAGTTGTGTGACGAGAGATAGTAAGTGTTATTGGTTATTATTGACAACCTTATAAACTGTAGTTTTGTACATATTGTATATTCTAATTCCTTTTATTTATAGAAACATTAATCCTGATGTTTATGGTATATTGTTCTTTGTTAGTAGAAAGTTCTGGCATGGGAATATCCATAAACTACATCTAAACTATACAATTAGTTTTATAATGGGTCAATAAAGGACTTATTGGAAACAACTAAGAAAATACCCAATATCACCTGCAACCGTAGAAGAACGAACAGAAGTACTTGAATATTAAACAGACAATATCCAAAGTTGAAATACATCGGAAGCTACAGCGAGAGGCTTGCAACCGTTAGTATCTTTCGGACACAATTAAAAGTAGTTAATTTACTACTGCTGTTATTAAGAATATATTGATTTTCTTCTGTATTAAATTGTTTTATTCTAAAACTTATTCTAAGATGTAATAGACTGTCTAAACTTACTGTTCGTTACTCCGTTTTAGAGAAGTAAAATTGTTATACCATTAAATTGATTTTAATATAAAACAAAAGGAAGAAAATATTTTCTCGAGAGAATTATTCCTATTACAGAAAATGCTCATCGTTCTATGTCGTTGCAGAAAATGAAGTGGCGACAGAGGGCTTGGAGAGTTCCTCCCCCTCCTCTCCAATAAGATAATTTGTTTCGACGTGTCCACATCTTATCCTTCGACTTAACGAATCATCTGCTCAACCTAGATGGTCTCCGAAGTCAAGCACTCCCTGTAAGGGGAACTACAGCAGAAAACTAGAAGATCAATCTGAAGAGTTAAGAACATAAACAACTTGTCCTAGTATCTGTACTTAACTGTGGGGGTTTCATAATGTCAGTATAACGATGGCCTTAATAGTAACAATATTAAAATTGGGAATTTATAAGGAATGATTTAATATTATTACATTCTTTGTCTAAAGCAGAAGGAGTGTGAGATAGTATATTCTTTTATTATTTTGTTATGGATTTCTTTACAGTTCATTTATTATTCATTCTATCGTTTAGTTAAGCTCTGGATTTTTATTTATTCTTAAACGCTAACTCACCTTCTAGCTAATCGCACCAATTTTTAATTTACATGAATTATTAGACTGATATCAGTTTCCCCTATCGGTGACTTACAGATATTAATATAGGTAAAGAGTATGTACAATATTTGTTTATTACAGATTAACTGGTCTTAGAACTGTAGCTTCGTTAAGCTGAACTAGAACCAAAAGATAAAGTCGAATATATAAGAAAATGGTTTCATCCTTGAACTGTATCCGTATTTAAACTGTGTAGGATGTCAGTATAACGTTACAAGTAAGGACTTAATTTTAAACTGATTAATATAATCACTTCTTCTAAAGGGGAAAGAGTGTGAAGTAGAAAGTTTCATTTTATTTCGTTTTGGATTTGTTTATTAATTATTCATTCTATCATCATTTAGTTAATCTGTGAATCTTTAGTTTACATTTTAGTTATTCACATCGATTTTAAATATGAATTATGAACCCGACACCAGTTTCTTATAGCGGTGACTTATAGATGTTAATGTTGGTAATGAATACATAAATAATGATTACATTGTTTCAAATCTCTTCATCTAATTAATTATAGCAACTCAGCTGGTCTTTGGACTTAACTTCCCGTAACCTGAATCTGAGCAGAAGGTAGAGAAGCTAAAGATCTGAGAACACTACGCTTTTTCTTTGTAAGGTATATGTACTTAAACTGGGCAGGATTCATGGTGTCGGTATAATGAGGTCATTAATAGTAAGGGTACTAAAATTGTGCATTTTAAACCAGTGATTAATGTGATAACGTCGGTTTTCGAACGGGGAAGGAATACGAGGTAGCAAATTCAATTTTTATTTCGTTATGGTTTTGTTTTATGTTCACTTTTTATTCTTTCTATTGTTTAGTTAACCTGTAACATTTGTTTTACGTTTAAACGCTACTTCGCATTCTAATCAGTTACGTCATTTAAAGTTTCTAAAAGTTATGAGACTGACACCAGTTTCCATTACCGGTGACTTGCAGATATTAAAGTTGTAAAATTTTTAATTAAATGTTTTTTTAATTTTTTGAATAAAGACTTTATCAGGAGTTTAAATGACTTTAAACACGTGAGATTGCGATGAAGTGTTTTTGTTATTATTCGATGTTTTATACACGTTTTTGTTCCGTTCCTTTTTCTATTTATTTATATAAATATTAAACTGTTATTAATGGCATATTGTTCTTTCGTGTTAGTGGAAAGTTCTGGCCACTGGTCCATTCATACACTGTATGCAGGCTAATTGATAGTTTATAAGGAGTCAAAGAAGGACTTTTTAGAAACAAAATATCCAACATTACCTGCAACCGTAGATGAACGAACAGATCTACCTAGAAATATTATACGGAAGGCAATATCCAACTTTGAAAAACAGCGGAAGCTACAGCGAGAAGCTTGTACCCGTTAGTCTCGTTAGACAAAATTAAAAGTAGGTAACTTACTACTATCGTTAAGAATACATTAAATATGTTCTATAGTGAATCTTACTGAACTTTATTCTAAGATTGAATGAACTATTCCAAGTTACTACTTGTGTTACTCCATTTTTATATAAGTTAGGTTATATCGTGTTAACAGGATAATTTCTAAAATGAATTTTTCCAGTGATTTTTTTCGACACCAGAGGAAATGCTCATTGTCCTATGCCGTTGCAGAAAATTTCAATGGAGCAAGAAGGCTTTCAGATTGCGCCCTCCCCTCCATCGAAATAAAGGACTTATTTTGATGTGTCCACTTTTCGTACTTCGACGTAAAGTACTGAAGAGTCGTGTATGTCCTCTACTTAACCTAAATGGTCTTTGAACTCGAGCACTTCCTGTGAAGTGAACCAAAGCAGGAAAGTAGAGAAGATGAAGATTCATGAACATGAATTATTTCTCTTTGTAAGGTATCTGTACTGAAACTGTAAATGATTCATGATGTCAGTGTAATGAGGCCGTTAAAAGTAAGGATACGAAAATTGGGAATTTAAGAGTGATTAATGTAATCACTTCGGTTTTCGAAAGGAGTGTGAGGTAGCAAATTCTTTTTATTTTGCTATGGTTTTGTTTATAGTTAACTTATTCTTTCTATCGTTTAGTTAATCTGTCAATTTTCAGTTTACATTTAAACGCTAACTCACTTCCTAGCTAATCGCATTTACTTTTAGATTCTAAGAGTTATCAGACTGACACCAGTTTCCCATATCGGTGACGTACGATATTTAACATTGGTAAATAGTATATAAATAATGATTACATGAATTAATCAGTTGTTCTAACTAGTCACTTTATTATTGCAGCTCATCTTATCTTTGGACTCGAGGATTTTCCGTAACCTGAGCCGGAAGGTAGACAATGTGAGGAAGGAAGAATGTGAACGAATTTTCATTGTAAGGTATATGTACTTAAACTGGGCAGGATTCATGATGTCAGTATAACGAGGTCTTTAAAAGTAAGGATACGCAAATTGGGAATTTAGTGATTAATGTAATCACTTTTTTCGAAAGAGCAAGGAATGTGAGGTAGCAAATTCTATTTTGATTTCGTTATGGTTTTGTTTTCAGTTCATTTATTATTCTTTCTATCGTTTAGTTAACCTGTGCAATTTGTTTTACGTTTAAACGCTACCTCGCATTCTATTTAATAACAACATTTTTAAGTTTGTAAGGGTAATGAGACTGACATCAGTTTTCCTTATCGGTGACTTTATTTATGTTGCAAAAGTGTAAATGTAAATATCATTTTTTTTATGTTTTAAATAAAACTGTTTGTTATGAGCTTCAATAACTTGGCGCACCCAGGATGGTGGGAAGTGTTTTTCGATATTTTAAGTTTTGTACATAGTTTTTTTTTTTTTTTTTCTTCTGTACGTTTTTCTAAATTGTTGTGTATAGAAATATTAATCCCGATATTGATGATATATTCTTTTGTTAGTAGGAAACAATTTAAACTGTTTGGTAGCTTAAGATATCGAAGAAGGACTTCTTGGAATAAACTGTTTGGTAGCTTAAGATATCGAAGAA